TAGAACCCATTAAATTCCGATGCAAATTCGAATCAAGGAAGGATTCAGGATTTCTTTTTCATTTTCTTAAACGTTGTGGGAAAGGGCGATTTGCAATTTCTCATCGATTTCTCAGAAGACAATTCATGAATCTTGATTAAAAAAAATAAAACATATTAAGAATGTGAATATGAGCAATTTGCTGCAGATCAAAAATAATAATCTGGATCAAGTGAATTTAAATGTGGTTTCATAATGGGACTGTTGGGCCTCAGTGGAGGTATGTGCCTCATTTCCAAACATGGTCCTGGCTGAGTTTAACCTTTTCTGATTTAGGATATGTTAATCAGTGAGTGTGGCTGGTGCAGATTTGTTTGCCAATATTGATTGAGAAAAGGAGAAGTGTTTTTTCTTTTCAGAATGTCATCCTTTATTCATTCATAACCCTTCAGAGACATAGAGAAATAGATTAAAAGAAAAATCACAGAATAACATGTTGGAAAAGACTTGAAATACACTTTGCATGCCTAAAGCTCAACAGACAAGTAGAGCTGAACACATAGTTGATGAAACGATAGAAAATTAATAAGAAAAGTTTTTGATGCACTCATGAGTGCAAGCGACTCAGATGTGAGAATTTGCAAAAACACACAAACTCGGACAAAACAAGGAATTTCAAGATGTTACCCTTCGCTTTTCCAAAACAGTATTTTACAATTTATGATATTTTGTTAATTGAATTAAAAAAAGTCTTTACATAACTATAGTAGTTATTGCAGCCTTACACCAATATACATATGCTTGAGCAGCCTGTTCCCAAGCAGGATCCTTCATCGCTTTACTGGCCAACTTAGTGTTTGCTACTCATGCATGGCTGCAAACCCCTTCACTTCAACGCTCATGTGTTCAAAGACTGCTGTGCCTTCTGTGCCCTTCCAGGGAGAACAGCTTGTACGTAATGTTTGATTGTGTTATTTAAAGAGGAATATTGTGCGCTTAGTTATTTTTACTTTAAATCCAAATTTAAAGCTCTCTAAAGTTTAATTTCCATCAGAATATGAAAGCAAATATATTTTGTGTATGATTTTGTGTATTATACAATGTATTGTATAATGATGTTGTACTGCTGCAGTGAAACTAGGATAACTAGTGAATCAGTGAGCATCTGTGGGAGTACAGATGTGAACTTGCTGGGATTTTTGTTTTTTACCATACGAGCACGGCTGTTGTCGGGGGTCAAACTGTGTCCTTTGCAGCCGAGCATTACTTCCTGTTAGCCTCAGAGTTATCCGTCAGTGTCAACAACAACCGACGCCTCTGGGTAACTCTCGGCACTGGGACGCCTGTGAATCATCGATTGCCTCCTTGGTCACATCACCAGTTACAACTTGTGCGAGAAGACTGTTGGAGGCACGATGTTGTGATTATGCACAAGCACACAGTCAAGCGGCTCGGTCTAATTACAGAAACTTCTAAGCTGTAGATATTTGACAATGATGTGCGATGGAATTAGTTTTAATGCGTGTAATAATGACGTCTGTGAGTTCCACAAATAAAACATAGGAAGTGGCGCCTAAAGATGAATATGCAGAATGTGAGGCCACTTGTTTTGCTGCATCAGGGCTTGATTATTTTTTAATCATATTTACAACAACTCTGGAGAAACCAAAAACATCTTCATTAGAATCAAGGGATGATGTATGAGGGAAAATGTATTTTCAGCAATGACTCATGCTTCCCAAAGGACAGAAGGCTGTACAGTAAAAAACAAAGCTAAACAGTTCTTTGAATCAGATATTTGATACTTAACACAGTGAACATACTGAAAAAACCATAATTAACTGCACCAGACCAGCGTGTGAGTCACAGGGTATAAAATACATTCAAAGAATAAAACTGTTTAAACATAGATTTAAACCACAAATTCATTTCTCACTCTTTATTGCTGGAAATTTTCTTTGTTAACTCTGGTTCCTCTTTCTCACAGTCTGATAAAAAAGTCTGACGACAACTAATCACAACTCTGGTTGACAACCAACACTGATGCATTCCTTTGCTGAACAGGGAGAATGAAAGTTAGTCAAAGTATTGAAAGTATTTTTATTATTTTTCGAGGAAAAATGCCAAACATTCACAAGTTCTGATCTTCCTTTGTGATTATTTGCATATTCACTTTATTTTATTTATATATTTCTTCTTTGTGATATGAAACTGAATATCACTGTAATTTTTGAAATTGTTTTATTTGTTTTGATATTTCATTATCCAATCCTTTAAAACTAGGGTTAGTTAAGTTCACTCGCTAACTTCTGACTATCGTCTCTGCTTCAGTGTTGTACGTTTCCCTGCTGTTACCAATCCTTCCTTTTAATGGAGAAATAAACAGCAGGCAATTTCCTAAGCACTGTATGACTATACGCTAAATTCTGATGGAGCAATGCAGACGACCCCTGTTATATCCATTTGTCTGAGCTCCAAACACGTACAAGGACAAACAACGAAAAAGTGCTGTGAGTCACTCCAGCCTACCTGATATGATCTAGTGTATTTTCTTTTCCACCCACACTAATATGTCAAGACAAGCTGTCTGCAGTTTTGCTCAATAAGATGTCTCCCACTGTCTCTGCCCACGCAGGCTAAATGTACAAATGTAGAGGGACACCCTAAGGTTCATGACCTCCCAAATGGCATTTGTTCCAGGGACACGCTCTGGTGCTTTTCTCCTTCTTCAGTGTATGTGTTGTGTACCACAATAAAATATTACATATTCACATGCAGTAACTCGATGATTGGCTGTAAATTTACTAAATCCTTGTTGATGAACTTTGTGGAGCAGAGAGTGGAATGACAAATGGAGACAGTGGTGCATCGTGTAGCATGTGAAACTATGTCAGACAGAGAAAGAACTATATTTTCAATAGGTCTCTCATTTCTTTTATTTGCTATTCTGTTTTGAGTGAGAAAGGTATTCTGTATGCAACTCTTCCTGAGCACTTCTTGTTCACAGGGAGTGAAGCTATTGGAGGAGTCAGCAATTTGGCTACAAGGCCTGTACTGGAGAGCCATTGCATTTGTCTCAACATCGAGACTTACTGGGTTTTTGCACGTCCCCGGGGAAAAAGCATACTTTCACATTTGACATATACTGTATTAATTAGGAAGCTAAATCCTGCTCTGACTCCTAGGCAGGATTTCTCCTTAGGCTGAAGCCAACAATAAAAGTAAATCTGGAAATATCTGAAATGTTGTTGAAAAGGTTGTACATTTTGTAGGGAGTGATAACTCAATGCACAGTAAATACGCAAACAGTTGTTTTATAAAAAGTGAAGGACTTGCCTAGAGGCTGGGATGTGCTCAAAACAAACTCATACAATGTGACGCATCTGAAGGCAAAAGTGTTGATAGCCTCTCAAAAAGCAGGAAGAAGAGCCTGGCGTCATAGCGAGGCGTGAGATGCAATAATCACTCAAATGGGGATAACAACACACAAATCTCCACTCTGAGGCATTCATGTTGTGATGCAGACATTTGTACAAAAGAAAACTACAAGTATAAAAAGAATATACAAAGAGAGCTTGAGGGTATGGATGTCAATTTGTATTTTCTTTCCAACCAATACATGGCCAGAAATTGTACGGTTAGTCTGGAATTTTTCATAGATTCTTTTAAACTGATTAACCAAACGTACAAGTGGTCAAAATTCTGATAGTCAGTTGATGGTTAAAGATGAACATCCCTAAATCGTCCCTTCTGTTTTGGATCGCCAAACCGGACAGAAGGGCGCTTGCTTGTCAGATAGTTGGTTTCAGTTCAAAGAAATTCAAAGAAATTATTTTGAGGAGGGGCGAGGGGGTTTCAGACACTAATGAACTATGCAACAACCACAATGCTTGAAGCATATCCTCTCATTACTTAGTGTAGGATTAACCTCTAAGGTCTCAACATCTCTGTATCTGGTCAAAGAAGTGACACAACTCAACAACTCTGTGGTCCCCTTCAGGCAATCTGCCCTGAAGTTGTCTGTGTTGTCATATTCATGCCATGCCTCCTACTACCCGAGGATTACAGTCCGTGTTGTCAAATTCAGAGGGAGCGACTGATGAGGTTCTTCTCAAACGACTTAGTTTAAGTAATGGGGAGTCAACAATGAGATCAATCCAGCTGGACACAGCTAGATAATAAGGGAGTCATGAACCCAGCTCGAGATATTATTATGTAGTTAAAGGCGCATATGACGACATGACTTTGAGAGGAGAACACACGCCGCGAACGATAAAAGGAATGACTTTCACTGGGTGCTAATCACTTCCCTTCTTTTGTAACAAAGAGCTGATGAAGTTGCTGGTGACTGACTCACTTCCGCAGGGTAGACGCTCATACAGCCAAGCTGGTATGTTACATGACTGTCAGCTCTGAATCCTCTGACAGCGTTCAGGGACTGCAGCCATGGTTCCCTTCCTCCAAAGTCTGCGTGTCTGTTCCAGCCTCCAACGCACAGAATTACAACACATATGAAAAATCAAACCTGAGAGAGCGAACACAATCCAGCCTCTCGCTTCCACGGGCCGCTCACTGTTAAGGAGGCCCTGGGCGTTTTGGGAAACAGTGCCTCAGACTTCTGTAAATAATACAAGTTGTGGCTGCTCTTTACACACTTGAAACAAACATGAACTTGTTCTCCCACCCTGTGGCAATCGGGAGAGCGAACAAGGTCTGTTACATCCTGGCAGAGGGAGAGCAGAGAGGGAGAAAAATAATGTGACTCGTTGAAGGGCTGAAGGCTGAGCGAAGGAGGAGGCAGAATAAGACGAAGGTAGAAAGTTCATTCACTGAGTGAGGGCATCAGGCTTTGAGGCATGGAGAGTGTGCTGGCAGAATGTTCGGTAGAGGTTCAGTGATCCATCAAAGGGAAGCCTGTCTTTCCACTCTGCCTGCCGGAGAACCTTCCCTCTCTGCTTTGCCTCGCAGTAACTCCCCCCACTCCCTCTTTGTCTCCCCCTCTCTCTCTCCATCTTTTACAGAACGTGTCCTGGGGTAAGCAGTACTCTTACGCCCTCTTCAAAGCTATGAGCCACATGCTGTGCATCGGGTACGGCGCCCGGGCGCCCGTTAGCATGTCTGACCTGTGGATCACCATGCTGAGTATGATAGTAGGAGCCACTTGCTATGCCATGTTTGTGGGTCATGCTACTGCTCTAATCCAATCACTGGACTCCTCGCGCAGGCAATACCAGGAGAAGGTAAGATCCGAGCAGTGACACACATTACAACGTTTAATACCTGAGATAGAAAGAAGAAAGAGCTTAGGTTTAAATGTGATGCATGATTATGGATGTTGATAAGACAGAGGAAATCCTTTAAAATGAATACTCCATATATAATGGTTTGTTGTTTCAAGGTAAGTGATTAACACTGTGATGGTCTTTTATTCATTTGAGGGTTTCGTTCTTTTCAACTGCATAAAATCCTGCTCATTGGAGCTAGACTTAAATAAATTAGGTCTCACGGATCACGATATCCGGGGCGATGACTGGGAAAGAGGATTTTCTCCCCCCAGGGAGATCACACAGGGCCAATGGGGTGAGGAGGTCTGCGACATGACGAGCCACCTCACTGCCCGTGTACTGCCAGTGAACACATTTCATTCTTCCATTTCATTTCAGTCCCAATTGCATCTTTTTTTTTTTTTTTTTTTGCAAAGACAGTGATTATCCGGCATTTCAGCCTAGCCACCATCTGTGATCCCACTGAGGGGCCTGGGCAATTCCCCAGAACACACAGCCGTGACTGATGCTCAGTGAGCTCGCACGCAACAACCCGAGTGTAACCCCCCCACCCAAACTTTCCCTGTGCTTGTTCTGCAGAATTCAATGTACATACGTATTGTAGTGCAGGGGACTATAAGCCCTTGCATGGTATGTCTTGATCTGCTTAAAATGAAGAGCAGATCTTTAACTGCAGCAGCAAAGATGATGTATGTTGATTGATCCATCTATAAACAGTTTTTACTTTGACTGAGTTGGCAAGGAACCAGTGCCTCAAATTTTTAGTGCTTGCCGATTTTCTCTCTTATTCAAGAGTAGACCAATTCAGAACCTGTGGCTCAGTTTCATCTCTTACAAAGTGAAAACTTGCTGCCTTTGTCCGTGAAAGATTCACTTTGCCAGTTTGAATATTCTCTGAAATTTTGCTGACAAAAATTATCAAAACATTATTCTCTTTTAAAGAGAGCTTCAATTAATATATTCAGGCTCTGGATGGTTGGTTACAAAAAACAAAATTCTGATGGATCTCCAAACAATTTTCATCATCAATTAATCTGTTGCTTGTCTCAGTTAAATGTTTTTTCTTTTAGATGACAGAGAAAGCTGAAAAAAAGTAATCAAATGTCCATGAGTTGTGTTTTATCTCAGCAGAAAAATTTGGATACAAGCAACCAGTGAAATATAAGCATATTTGCATAACTCATTAATTATGTGACGGATCATTTCAGCCCCACAGAAAAAAATTGATAATAAATAGTTGCAGCTGTATTATCTCTATGCCCACACACACAAATGCAGGTTAGACTAGAGAACAAAGTATTGGTGGGTAAATGTAAAAGCATTTATCCATTTTCAATGTTCTCTACAGTAAAACAATGGCCTGAACTTACCGACCTCTCCTATTGTCGACCAACCTGGAGAAACCATCCTTCTGTTTTACATGGCACTTAAAACTCTACAAAACCACCCACAGTTTAGCCCAGGAGACTAATCTGGTCTACTGAAGACGTTAACGTCAGTGAGCTCATGCCTGGAACGCTGATTACTCAATTTCATTGCTCTGTGACAGACTCAATTTCAGCCTCACAGCGATTCCCAGCAGGTTTGCCCCGAAAATCAGCTGCTGATTTACACTGAACTGAGAGCAGATCAGAAAAAGTCAATGCAAACATGTCGGGTATATATATGTATTGAATTCACACTAAAGTGATTTCTTCATAAGCAGGTTTTTATCGTGATGCATAATTTTATCATTGATTTAAAACGGGTGTCACAGCACATTTCCACAGAAAATTAATGAGAGCAGGTCGCCCACAGCGAACTATTTAGCCGCTCGAAGTCACCCTTTGAATTAGTGACATGTCTTTTGCTCACTATGTGATTTACATCTGCTTCACAGCAAATCTGCTTAATCTACATCCCACTTTATCCGTTCGACATCCCTCCAGGCATTGAACTGACAACTCTGAGGCTGTGAATGCCATGTTCATGGTAACCGAGCCCCAGTGTGGAGCCAGATTCAGCTATAGCGCTGATTTGCTGCATGGCTGTGCATATCGGTGGAGCAGGCTGAGGAGCAGCAGGGATGGGTTGAGGGTGCTCAGCCTCTAGTCATCACATCTATCACTGCCACAGCTGGGGGGCTGGGAATATGCATGGAGAGGGAGGGAGGGAGGGATGTTAGAAGTGAGCTAAAGACAGAGATGTTTAGTAGAAGGACACGAGACGATATAGGAGCAGAGATAATGAATCTTGTCAATGTATGAGCCCTTAGAGTAGTTTTTCAAGCAGGAGAAAAAAAAGTGAAACATGATGTAGGCCTAAAAGATGATATTGAGGGGGAGGGGATTTGGAGAAGTAGTTGGTGTGTGTGGAAGGAAATTAGGGTGTAAAGCAATACATGATCTGTGCCTGCTGTGATGCCCCGGTGCTGAATCACTGTGATCCATCACACAGCTGCGTGTCATTCACGTCCAAGTTATTTCAGACATGTTCAGGCCGAGCCTTGATTCATACACAGGCTTTAGAGCCTAATGTAAACCTGCATGTTTGCTCTGGAATAATGTCTCGGTTGAATTCGTGTCAATGAAAAAGAGTTTCAATCATTGGTGGATGCCCTCAAATATATTTCTTAGAGTGACATTAATAGAACATCACTTTCATGTCTGTCTGCTAAGTATGGAGCTTTGTGAGGTAAATTCCATTAACATATGTGAAAACATTTTAATTTAGTTTTTGTATGCACCAACAGGAGACACTCTTCATTTTTAAATAAACAAGTAAATAAAGTACTTCATTTTGTGGATATTCAATTAGCATTAAATGATACGTTCATATTTAAATAGGATTTACCATAGGCAGTTGACAGTACATGAAAACATATTTCCATGGCATGTTATTTTTGCGGATAACAAAGTGCCTCCAGGCTCTGTTACAGCAACACTAATGGCTGGCCGTGCTGCTGGCAAGAGCACAGAAATGGCTTACTATTGTGCCAAATGGTTAATCACAATGTGATGACTGAGCAGGCCATGACTACTTCTAAATAATCCACAGTAGCAGGTGGAACTGGATTGAAATTAAAACAAATTAAAAAGATATGTGAGAAATTAAGTCATCATCATTATAAAAACTTGACATGATGCCGAAGGCCACAAACCTGAAGTATCTGAAATGTCACATCATGCCACCCTCTCCTCTGCTGTAAAAATAACCCCAGCTACTCAAACTTCAACTGTGTGAACTCCAAATAAATCAATTTCCCACAAACAAAAGCCGTTGCCCCTTATCACCTTTCTGCAGCCGGGTGAGGAATCAATGCAGGAGCCATTGTTGCCCCAGTGTCTCCCCTCTCACCGGCCACGGAGCACGCCACCGGCCAGAGCCACAGACGTCACAGCCTGTGTGTGATTACCAGAGGCAATGTGATAGACGGTGTTTATTTTCAGGTGTCAGGGCCCTGGACTGGGTGGGACGATCATGTTTGCAGCGAACTCAGTGAGGAAACAGAGGCCGATCAAAATAGATGAGCCAAAGTATTTTCTCCCTCTTGTTCCTCTCCTGAGGGACAATGATGGCCTTCAGGTTAGCGTGGGTCGAATTTTATCTCCCACTGAGATTCGGCTAATTACTACAAACCGGACACTTCTCACGTCTTTGTTAGTGGCAGTATTGGCACCAATGGAAAGGTCCTGCATCCTGACAATACGATATAAATGATGATGTACCGGCCATCTGGCTTTCTTACAGTGAGGACAAAAACTATTTCATCCTTCATCAATGTCATTCTTCTGGCATGTTTAGCAATAATAAAATGGATAGCTCGTTTTATTTTTAAATCCAAAGACCTGAAATCAATACATTTCTCTTTATGAAAATTAGGGCTGGGTAATACAACAATATCAATAATTATTGCAATTTAAKTTTCATCAATAGCAATATAACTGAGGTTCAATATATATTGATGTGATGCTTATGCATGAATTTGAAGTTAGATGACATTGATAATCAATAAACTGTAATGCTGATATATCATGTCTCTAAGTTGTAGACATGATGACCCGTGTATAACAACTGAAGCAGTTTCAAAGCTTCACATTTTTAACACTAAACACAGAAAATAAAAAACGAGACAAGCTCATCAAAGGTCAATCCATTTGGCATCACTTTGGATTCTTGGCAGATGCTAAAAATCAATTCCACTCGTGTTCTCGGAATTAAAGAAATCGCAACAAAATATTCAGGAGGAATTGTGTGAATAATTAACACTTCATCAGTCATGCAAACCGCACCATCTGGTGCATAGTCGGTGCGGCTCCAGGATATCAGGTATACCTCGCTGGTTCACATCAGATCATAGTTCAGCCGCGTATTAGAACCGGGCTTCCTGCACGGGTGAGATAATCAGAGCTGCTACCTTGGTCTGACATAGCCCAGGGCCTGTACTCTTTCCTTCTCTCTTCCACCACCTGCCTCCCTCGTTCTGCCTCTCCCTCCCCACACGCAGAACCAGGACATGCCTCTGTGACTGTGTGAGAGCACGGCCTGTCCTCAATACCCAGACCAAATACACAAAATGTGAAGGCCACAGCTTTTTGTGTTTATTCAAGGAAACTGAAGCTTGTTTCTGTTAATTATTGACTCTTCCATTACTATTCAGTGTTTTAAATTTTGATGCATAACTCCTTATCATCTCCGTTTCTTTCTCTCCCCAGTACAAACAAGTGGAGCAATACATGTCCTTCCACAAGCTTCCAGCAGACATGCGACAGAAAATTCACGACTACTACGAACATCGCTACCAAGGCAAAATCTTTGACGAGGACAATATCCTGAGTGAACTCAACGACCCACTCAAAGAGGTGAGACAATTTCTCTATTAAAGACCCTGAACAGTTTGCATCGTCTTTTTCAGAGGCTCCTTTTCTCCGTTTGAAATCTTTCATTTTATTTTTGGAACAAGTAAAAAATATACACGTCTTAAATCTAACAAAAAAAGAGTTTTTTGACAGGTAAGCTGTCACACTGGGTTTAGTTTTCGAACATGAATGAGTTTATTCCCTGAAGATTTGGAGTGAATCGACGTTTTGCACCTTTAAATGCGCATGATGTGAAACTGAAATACCAACACCTGTCATCTCGTCTTACAAGGTCAAGGAGAAAAATAACAAAACAGATTCTCCTCAGTATCTTGGGTGAACACAGAGCAAGAATCAGTCAAGATACAAGAATATTCTTCACAAAAACAATAACTGTTTCTCAGTCACAGAGCTGCCAAGCAATTTTTCAGTTTTTTACAATATGTACAGGTCTGTGCTGCAACACCATAACCTATATTATTCTGAAAGAGGTCAAAGAGAAGGAACCTTAAAGTCAGTGACCAGGTTTTATGTTCTTGGCTGACCTCCTCATAGCAGCACATTACATGGGTAATTATGTACTGGGATATGGGAGAGTAGGGGAATAAAAAGCAAAGCAGGCGTGGAGATCGTGACCATCCCTCATGCAGCCCCATTAAGTCACCTTGCAGAGTCGAACGCTGAGGTGTGGGGAGCTGCTGCACATTACCAGACACTCGCAGGGAGGGGCGGGGATTTAAAAACGATTACTTACAACACAGAAAATCCTACAGGCTTAGTTCACCGTGCATAGCAAGCAAAGTTAAAATCTGCATGGAGACAGCGTTGCTCGATGAAAGCCCATGGGACAGACGGGTAAAAACAAATTCAGTTGCAGCAGAGCAAAGCAGGACATCTGGACTAGACTTTGTCGTCATTTTGCAGTATGACGGCTTTAATGGTTTATTTCTACCAGATGAAGTTATTCAGTAACCCAAAGGACCAGTTTTGTCTGTGTCCTTTTTTCTGTAAAACATCAGAATCAGAATCAGAAATACTTTAATAATCCCTGTAGGGAAATTCAAAAACATCATGACACCCCTGGTTCCTGTATGAAATGATCATAAAGAAACCAGATCCTTTGGTTTTGCTATTTTTTAAACCTCCAGGTTTTAGTCCAGTGCTGGAATAAAAGACATTGAGTTAATTTATTTCTACCCTGATGGAACTGGAAAAACTAAAACTGCATAAACAACAGTAACTATTATAAGTAAAAGTCATACATACTACTTAAGTATACAGAAGTACAATGAGCAAAATGTAATTTAATTATCAAAAGTGAAACAATGTGTCCTGCATATACCTCAGATATATACAGTGTATTACATTATTAGATCAATAATATTGATGCATCAATATGTGCATCATGTAGCATGTTACTGTTACACTACTGTTTCATGATCTAGTTGTTGTTATTGCCATATTGTACATGATAATTATTCTGTTCTGCACTGACCCCACCTTTTAAAAAGCAACATGAGTAACACCAACCTTCTTGTGTCTGCCAGTGACACATTTCTTCTGCCAACTCCCATTTGAATCTTGTTAGACTAAAAGCAATTGTACACTGTATGTACATAAATGAAGTGGAGCTTGCCAAAGTTCTGTAGATGCCTCTTGATTTATCAGTGTGGCAAAGCTAACGGCAGGCTTTGCTTTTGGAGTAAAGTGGCCACAAGTTTTGTTATAAAATCAAATGATTAAAGGAGAGGGGAAATTTGTTTTTCAACCTCTGCTGCGGTCTGTGTCCGAGAAATCAATTAAGGCAGCTTAAAGGCAGACCTATTCCAGGTGGACTGACTGAGGCCTCTGGGGGAGGGGGAGTCAGGCTGATTGCAGCTGAGTGTCTGTAGTGCTACGGCACAATTTTGGGGCTTGCTGAGTTGTAGGTCAATTTTGGATCAGAATCAGCTCCACTTAGCAGCACTCAGACTCGCTTTGGGACAGCGGAGGACCACGAAATCAGCCCAAGTATCTGCTCGCTGATTCTGGCACGTCCTTTATCACAAGATTTAGGCAGCTGTTGGCTCAGGCAGTGATGACGATGTGGCATTTAGATGACTGCCAGTTTTAGTTTGAGGCTGGATGGATCAACTGTAATGACAGCAAAGATATTAGTAGCCATCTTAATGTGCAGCAATGGACCATATTAATCCATCCATCCATTATCTATACCGCTTATCCTTAAAGGATCACCAGGGGGGTTAGAGCTGATCCCAGCTGACATTGAGTGACACCTAGGTCGGGCATTGTCACCAAACCCTTTCAGTATTTCAACCTTTACACCCTGACATATGAGCTGTTTTCAGACATGCACTGAACTCCAGATAGTCTCCTGAAATGATTCGGTGGGGCTGTATGTGAGGACACAAATGTCAGAGTCAATTGCTCTGGACAGTCTCTGGAGTTTTTCCAGACAAATTTCCAATGAATGTCTGAGTGAGAACACAGCAGGATTATGTCCAGAGATTGATTAACAGTGTTGAGGTGGATTGATGATGTGTCTATCATGCAAGAAACGGGAAACTGAAAAAAACTAAAGAATGCATAAATCCCAGGATGAAAAAAGAGGTGCCATGCACTGAAGCAGACAACAAAGAAGATGTCAGTTTTGGAAAGGCAACGTGATTCTAAAGCTTTTGGGGATAAGGGCGTACTCTGGTTGGTATTTGCTGTAAGCTAAAACATATGATTTCCCCAGTGAATGTATAAGTTACATCCTGCCTCCTGCATACTCTACACAAACGACACCTCTCACCTGAAAACTCCAGAGATTTTCCTGTTACTGTTTATGTGTCTGACTCAGCAATCTCCTGCTGCCCCAATTGTCTGGATGTTTTCCGGAGTTTCCGTCTGAAAACAGTTATAGGGATGAATAACCATTCAGTCTCTAGTCTCCAGACAAAGATCATTTTTGAGCTCACAACAGAAAAGGCTGCAACCGAGCGGGGATTCAACCATGAAACCTCTTGTTGTGAAGTGACGATGCTCAAAATTGTCATAGTACCTACAATTCCTTTCCAAGAATCACTGATTATATTCAGCTTGCTATGAAAATCAACTGGCAGCCAAATCACACTTCTTGAGGCCAGTAATCCATCTCAGTAAAAGTTTCTTGGTTGAAGGCAACCGTGGGAAGAAACTCTCCCTGGCATTGATTGATCGTTATGAGCTGCCAAGAAGCATTTCATCGATGAGTAAAAGAAGCATGAGAACTGTGAAAGAAGAAAATGTGGTTGTTTCTTTCATTAAAAGGTTTGTTGTTCAGCTGCCAGTGCCCATTAATGCACCTTGATGTTTATCCCTAACTGCACCTGCCTGCTATAGTAACACAACACGATGACAAAGCGACTTTGACAAAATAATACCATAAGAGATGGATTGTGATGGATTGCCTGTCTCGGGCAAGTTTAAAATTTAAAAGTTGTTTTTCAGACTCTGTTAAAGGAATAAGGAGAAGAAAAAGACGCATATAAATAAAATAATGTAAAGTATATGCAGTTTTTCAGGTAATCTGCTAAATCATGCACACAGCAGAATAACACAATGGCCAGACTGCTCTGCCGTTCTCTCTGCTCGTCCACCCCGCCTTTTTTTTCCTCTGTCTCCCTGTTTCTTATTCTCCACCATATGACTGATCTTTAAATAGGCATAGCCAAAGATTGTTTCCCCAAGAGGACTCCTGGCTGGGCATGAAAACTGCTTACTATGTAATTCATTAGTTCTGGTCCATGATTGAGGTCAGCGCCCCGTGGCATTAGCTGACACCGGCATCTGACTCTGAGCTAACATCTCTCTGCGTCGCCCCCCCGTCTAGCAAGCAGAATGTCTCAGAGATTGGTTATCTCACTGTTAATGTCCTGTTGTTACTGGAGGAGAGTTATCCCTCATGGGGGGTCAACAACACACCACCGCAGATGCCAAGTGCCCCGGCTTTCCATCTGCACGGCAACAGAGATGTGTGGGTAAACAGACAACAAGCTCCTAATCTCCTGCTGGGTCCGAGGGGACAGGATGAGACCAGAGAGATGGCCGGCGGCCGGCACCAGAGGGCAACCTCATCAGGATCTGACTCATGTGCCAAAAAGTCTTATCTCAGGAGTGATGGGGGAAGTGCTTTAGAAGTATTAGGGATGAGGCAGCAATATGCATCCAACGTACTGTATTATGCCAACGGAGATGAAGGATTTGCGGCGTTTTGTGTCCAACTCCACAACTAATGCTAATTTTTCATGTTTCAGTTGGACAGGAGAGTTATTTATGGCACAATCTCATCATTCCTTTTTTTCTCCTTGTTTCCTCTACCAGGAAATTGTCAACTTCAATTGTCGTAAGCTTGTGGCCACCATGCCTCTGTTTGCCAACGCCGACCCCAACTTTGTGACGGGGATGCTGAGCAAGCTGAAGTTCGAGGTCTTTCAACCCAACGACTACATCATCCGGGAGGGCACGGTCGGGAAGAAGATGTATTTCATTCAGCACGGCGTCGCAAGCGTCATCACCAAGTTCAATAAGGAGATGAAGCTGACGGATGGATCATATTTTGGAGGTAAGAACAACAACTGAACAATCGAAACATTTTAATTAAAAGCAAACATGTTTCTGCTGCCATGCAACTGCAAAAGACTCAGTCTTGTGTTTGACGCTTTTTAAAGTTAAGTTATTACAGAAGTAGATTCTCATTAACCAGTGTTGGATGCTAGTCAGCCTTAACAGTTACATAACCTCTCATCTGGTAGTTGGAGTGGGCCAAGGCATGGATCAGGCATCCCTTAGGACACAGAGGTTCCTCCCCCACTCTTACCCTCCCTCTCTTTCACACACACACACACACACACACACAGGACCTCTTCACCCCCTCCATACATCCCCGCTGCACATGCTTGGCACTGACGAGATCAGCTACTGTAGATGTTCACTGTGTATAAAATCAGAAGCTTCACCCTCGAGCTGCTCTCTGCTGTCGTTCTTCCCTCGTCTCCTTCCCTCTCCCATTCCCTCTCCTAAACACTACAAACATCATTCATTTTTTAAACGCATGTAATTTCACTGCACGTTGTTTACTCCAACAAAATCCGCAAGGGCAGACATTGCCGTTTCCACGTGAAAGCCAAGCAAAGCCTCAATTTTAGAGGTTCTTGCATATTTTATCTCATAAATTCATCCCCACTATGGAAGTAGGCTGAGGAGTCTAAGAATACCTTCACTTTGGAGTGTCTGCCGAATGCAGTTCATGTCTCACAGGCGAGCTGAGGAAGGCAGTGAATCAAACACGAGACGAGCTGTCTTTTTTTCTGTTTGGTCAAAGCACGAGATTATTGTCGTACACCGTTTCATGTCGCACTCAGTCTTTGCTTAAATGTACGACTGCCAGAGAAGGAGGTGCATCTTAAATTCAGCACAGAGTGAAGACTTGTCACACAGCTAGATGTGCAGCATTTGCAGGGCAGCAGCACATCCCATTCAAGCTATTCAATCTCCTGTCCCTATAGCTAAAGAATCACAGTGAGGATAAAACCTTGGGCCAATAAGGCTCTGATAAATGGATCTCGCCGGCAGGGAGTGTCGGTGCATTTATCAAAGAGTTTGAGACCAAGAAAAAAAAAAGGACCCGAAACAACCACAGACTGAACACAGTAGAGAATTTGTTTCTTGACTCACAGAATTTTTTATTAAACGCTTTAGGAAGCTAAAACTTTAAGTATGGTTCGCCTCCTGATGGTCTTTCTGTTGACCCGAACATGTGATTAAGCCGAGGACTAGAGCTTCCAACCAACTGTTATTTTGTAGATTCATTTTTTTTCATTAAATGATGGATGGTTTTGTCCATAAAATATCTGAATATAGTGAAGATTTATATTTGTGTGGTTGCAATTGTGTGGGTTGTTTTAATTCAGTGCAGAGATTCTGAAATAACTGTTTGGTCCAAATTAAAGTAATTAGCAGAATACTTTAAATCAGTTCATTCTAAAGACCTACTACAGATGTATCCAGATGTACAGTACAATCAAATGACTAGTTGAAGCGCAGTGACGAGGTAAACTTCTGTGTTGAATTTATGGATGTGGCTGTAACAGATCAGTAGAACCAGTGTTTTGGCTGCTATATTGCAGATTATATATTATTAGAAATCATGAAAATATTATATTAAAATTGCAGAAATAGTCAAAAACTAAACAGGAATAGTTAGACATTTAAGAAGGTATAATAATAAGTTATTAATAAAAGTAATAATTCCAGAAATGTCTGTCTGTCTGTAGCTTATATCTAAAGAAGCGTTTATCTTATCTGTTTCACACTTGCATGGTTTAGGGCCCAAGGAAGTGCAGCTTCGATTTTGGTGCGATTTGTGATATGTTAATAAACTTTGCATTAGCAAGCAATCTGTAGCAGTGGCGCCATGAAAACAGTGCGTCCACGGCAAAAACAACTGATTCTCCAGTTCAGAGGTTTGGAAACTGAATCCTGCAGCCAGTCTTTACTCGCCGCAGCTTAATACTGAAGTCACTTTTACAATTTCAGACAGAAAACTTCAACCAGCATTGAAGCATCGCCCACCTGGTGTTTTTACCCGTTTACATCCATTAGTAGAGTTGGGAACCCACAGGACACCTCGCCCTTCCTGCTTCTTCTCAAATAATTCCCACTCCCCTTATGACCAGACTGAGAAATCAGTGAAGGGGACTGACACAGAAACAGAGGACGGGGAGAGAGAGAGCGACAAAACCGAGTCCAAAAACAGGAAACTATTAGCATAGTAATGAGCTGGACATGTATGAGGACAGTAGGTCACAAAGTACCTCCAACCATGTCAACGCCTCACCTGCATACTAAAAAGGTATCACGCTATAATCACTCCCGGGCCTCCGTGAATGGGATTACATATTGGTTCCACTGCTCTGTAGTGAGACCAAGGGACTAATAGAGTTTGACGCTAGAACAATAACAGCCAGTGGATAAAAATCCCTGCTGGGCGTCAATGTCTTCCTCACATGGGACTCCATCCTCCTCATCCCGATGGAGAGGAGACCGGGGATAGGGAGCTGGTTGCCATGGTTGTATCCGTGACACATGAAGTGATTGAAAATTATCCACAATGTCCCTGGGCTCACTGGTAACGCTTTGTGACACGGCAACAGACACGTGTCAGGACGCATCATGTGAAGTGTTAGCAGGGACTCACCTGACTTGCACCCACAAATACACACCTTGAAATAGACACAAAGGTCTTCCAGGTGACAGTGCTAATGTTCCCCTCAGTTTGAGTTTGAATAAAGCTTCACTAGTCTAAGTACAGTCGAACCAAAGGGGTTATTTTCCAAAGTGACAGTCACTTTAGTATGAAACTGCCTCTTTGTGTTACAGTTTCTCCACTGCAGTTTAGTGAGAAAACACTGTCAGGCACAGTGGCAGCATAACGTATGATGTATGGACACAGTTATATGGAAACAGTGGTGTTAGCAAAGCCTAAAAATACAGACTTTCCTGCTTTCTTGTTAGCTCAGTGTCGGCGTGGCGCTTTCACGTTCTCCAACAATCGCTCACAACTGGAGGTCAGTGTGGTCTGACAGAATGAATTAGCACCGTTTGAAGCTGTTATTTCAACAGAGGAAAGGAGAGAAAAATAGTTTTGTCTCCCCAGTTGCTTATGCCATTATTTTACTGTGGTTATGGAGCGGTGCAGCAAATCATTTATTTGTAATATTATCTGTCCCCCTGTCTCTGACATGCATGGTTATTGCTTGTTTACCCTGATTTCAGATAAAAGAATGAGCCCAGACATTGTGATGGACCAGAACCATAATGTCATTTAGAAATTGTTGTTTGAAAGTGGACATCAGGACCCAACAAACCAAGCCAGGTTTAGTTTGGGTATAAACTAGAATTACCAGATTATTAGCTTGGCTAACTGCCTCCTGGTTTTAGCTTGATAAAGAACAGACTTTCCACTGGTTCTTAACTGGATGTACTTTCTTTCATGTCTAATTATTCACATTTAGTTTGAGTATTCCTGCAATTTTGTTTGAATATTTTCATGTTTTGCATATTCAGCAACATCCCTGCAGCCACAGCATCGGCTCTACTCATTTGTTAGTTATATCCAGAGAGAACAGTAAATTCAACACAGCAGCTTGCCTCAGCACTACTTTCAAACTAATCATTTGATTGTACCGGGTTCATCTGGACACATCTGTATTGGGTTTTCAATATGAACTGAAGCTGTAATTAGAAGCCTCTCTTGCTTGAGGGGGAGAAAGTTCACTTTCAACTATAACAAAGCTGGCAGGAGAGGAGCATTTGTTGTTTCAGTTCATTCACTGGCCCTTTACTGTCAAACACTGCATGTACCTTTTAATGTAGAACCACGGAACGTCATATGAGCATGTTGGGAGTAAAGAGAGATTTTTATCAACCTAGGCGAACCAATCAGTAACTGTCTTCCTGTCTTGTGAAGTTACATTTAACAACATGCATGCTTTTCTCCGTGCCGTCTTTTGTTAGCAGAGGTACCATCTAAAGGGAGGTTTTTCCATTCCTGAGAGCCCCAACACCTTATTCACACACACAGCGTCGGAGTGTTGCTCTCACATCTCGCACAATCTGTGCTCTATTTTCGTGACAGCTCGTGGCGTAGCTAACAAGGATCACACCACGAGTTGGCATTTAACAATTTAATTAAGGTGGAAGTTCTACTATAGGCTGGTGCAAATGTGGGTGGAGGTTGAGCCGTGTTGGTGGCTGAGCAGAATCAAAGAGAAAGTTGATATGTAGAAGGTACAATGTGAATGAGGAGGATTGTTCACTTTCTGGTGCTACTGATTCATATAAGCAGTGGATGTCAGGTTCTACACATCATCTAGCACACATATGCTAATCAGGGATTTACTGATGATAATAATCATGCAAGGAAATGTTGATCATTTTATACGTCCTTGTTTCCCAGTGAGCTATTTTTGTATTCACATGAACACAATGATGCAATAATATCATCATGGCGAGAAGCAAGGATTTAATCTGTCGTCATTGACTACACAAGTTAAACATTAATATTTTAGGTTTCATCACTAATCAATGAGAAATTGTATCATGCTATTTTCCTTTTATTTAACTTTAATCTCACTTTATTTCCGAGGGAAATATTATACTTGCTGTGTTAGAGTACGATAAATGTACTCAAATTAGTTCCTTTTCAGATTAAGATTGTTCATAAAGATATGATAATATCTTAATGTCTTGACCAGTGATTCCCAACCTTTTTTAACTTGCCTAGTCACGTCTCAGAGTTAAATGTAATGGACTGTATTTATAGAGCTTCTCTTTTCTTAATGATGACTCAAGTGGCTCAAAGTAGTTTACATTCACACATTCACACACAAATTCACACAGCGCTTCTATATCTGGCTTTTTGTCTGCCAGTCATGCATCTCATTCGCAGGTTGCCCAAATAGCCTTCAGGAGCTATTCTGGGTTCACTTTGGTGTGTGAACTAGTGAATCGAACCACGATCCCCTGATTGAACCATCCTACCTCCTAGGCCAAATCATTGTATTTGTTTTAGGTTAAAATATGTAGTATATATTGTTAACTGACTACTGTGTCACATTAAGGGACCATTAGCTCTCTGCAGGATGATGAATTATCTGAGTATAATGCAAGTGACAGCACTGCTGATGGGCTTCTCCTTTTATTTACATTCACATTAGCATCTGCTTCTCTACCTTTTCCCACTCTCGGGTCATCTCATGCTAATTTGAACTGTAATTACTGGCTTGAATTCCTTTAAGCCCCTCTGCACCCTCCACTATGCTTACTGTCTCTTCATGTGTCTAATTTCTCCCCCCTCTTTCTCCTCTCTTCCTTTGTGCTCGTGCCCCACAGAGATCTGTCTGCTCACCAAGGGCAGACGAACGGCTAGCGTGAGGGCGGACACCTACTGTCGACTCTTCTCTCTCTCCGTCGACCACTTCAATGAGGTGCTAGAGGAGTACCCCATGATGCGACGTGCTTTCGAAACCGTCGCCATCGACCGACTGGATCGCATCGGTAAGCCCTGCCTCGATCTAACTGTCCGATTGGTCGAATCTCTTGCCTGTCATCGTGCCTTGTTGTCTTGTCTTTCTCAGTATTCGTTTGCCTTCCTTGTTCATAAAAGCATTGTGTCTGCCATCTTGTGCTGCATGACATGTATGCCGTTTCCCCCCCCCCCAACTTCCGTCTTTTTTATTGTGTGTCTAAAATATTATGAAAGAACATTTTTATGTAACCAGTATTAATCCTTCTAGAGAACCAAAGTAGTGTTTTATGGTTGGATTAACTGGGAGACAGTGCATGCCGCTGTCCGGGAGGGAGTCAGGTCGCCCCCTCGTTGGTTTGGTGTCGACCCCCCCCGCTGGATGCCACCGAGTGGATGGAAGCTAACCTCACATGCATGTGTGTCTGGTCCTCTTTCCACTCATCTGCACTCCTGGGTATGAGCAGCACCCCACCCCATATCAGAGATGTCAAAATCAACCAGACACGAAGCCCATGAAAAAAACGGGTGACGTCAGGGAGTTATTCCCAGTCCAGGCAGGACCCTGTAGTTTCATTCAGCTTTACCCACGTCATCAATAACACTCCCTTCTTTTCACTGTCTACATTTATAGAAGAACTTGGCCATGAAAGATTGTAGTTAGAATAGAATAAGTGGTAAGACACACTGTAGATGTGTTACAGTTTAAAAAGGGGCACATGTATGTATCACAAAGAGGGCAATAATTGGTTGCATATTCTTTTCTAAGACTTTGATTGGAACTGACACTGATAAATAATACACATAGAAGATTATAAGATAACGAGTGTTGTAGTAGAACATATGTCTTTGTCTTTGCTCATATTCAGCCTCATTAGAAATATGTATATTTTTTTAAATTGTATTGCTCTCCTCCTAAAACCTTTTTATTGATAAATAACTTGACAACACACTATTCTATATGTCTCATGTATCGAGTGTATCAACTTTATTGAAATGATTTATATTTCAAAAAATAATTATTGGATCTTGAGGCTGCAGGTGGTGAAAACGTTGCATTTTACACAACTCTGCTGTTGTACAGAAAGCTGCTTCCTCATTTAAACCTATAATAAATCTCTTAAATAAGCCAAATTAGAGATGATTTATGGTTGATATCATTGGCTTATATGGCTGCTGGACAGGCAGCTGGTCATTGGCCACATGTTATCAGTGCGTTTGCCTCTGGCTTTACTTAATAAAGCTGCCTTCTTGTCAACGTTTATGCCCGTCGATAAAGCTAAAGCACGTCATGATTATCTATTTAGTTACTGTCCAACAATTACATCCACCTCAAAATTATATCTCCTGTATAGAAAATGTTGAATTTGCATAGTGACAGTGTGCCAATGTTGTCTCATATCAGTGGTTAAGCTTGCAGTCTGTATCCACTTCTCTATCTGTTCCTGTTGATTTTCTTTGTCATGGCTTTGTATTTGTGTATTATTTTTGCCTGATACGGGCACGTCGTCAGTATTGAATTGCTTTGCGACCCAAGTTTTTGACACTGAAACACTGTAGTCAGCGACAGGCAACAACAACAACAACAACAACAACAAGACCTCTCCAAGTCAATCAGAACCCAACAACAGATGTGTGTCACTGCATAGACAACCTTTTCTCCTCAGAGATATGTTCGTATACAACTGTGATTTTGGAGGGAACATCAAGTTGTCTGGATCAGGGCTGGACGATATGGCCATATAGTATAAAAATGTTCATATCAGTCAATATTGGTAATCATCATGATCAGTGGGACATTATCATTTACATTAAAGACTGATTTCATAAGGACAGAGAATCACAAACACTTTAAAACATTTTACGAATCTGAAATATATTGAATATGTATTATACCTCTTTACTGTGATTGCACAATGCAATATGTCTTTACACATTAAACCTTTGTTGTATTGCTATTGATGAAATTATATGGCAATATTTCTTTATTGTCCAGCCCTCTTCTGGATTATATCAAAAATATCTGATAACAAATCTGCAAAATTCCATAGTACCCATGTCTGATTAATTATTAACAGTCACTTTGTAGAGCAGTTTATTCCCTCTGCAATATGTGCTCATACCAAGTATGCCAAGTGAATATGGTGAGTGCTAGGCAACTAAAACAGTTTGGTTCAGTCTAGGGAAAGATTGTGGTCATGTTTACATTTTTACAACCCTAAAGCTGCCTTCACATGATAAGAAACTTGCTCTTAATTTACAGCTCGGTAGGGGGCGCTGACATTTCCGGAGGCGAAGGGCTGCACAGGTATACGTAATAAAGAAGCACATCAGGAGGCACATAAACAGCATAGCTAACTTTCCTTGAATTGAGAAAGTCTTCCTTGGGGTCAAAGTTTTAATGGTTTAAATTTCAAGCGCAGCACTCGGTGGCAGTTTTCAAGCGGTGTGCCGCATCAGGGGTAGTGCATCCACCTGGTCGGGTACCACCTCTCCCCCTACAGGAAAACAAGGGAAGAGTCAGCACAGAGCAGTTATAATCCTCATCATGTGTGGGCGGCATAATACAAGATGAAATCTTTTCACTTCTTCCATTCACCCACCAAATACTATGCAACACATGAATGCTACACTGCATCTTGCATTAGAATTGAACTATAGTAAATTAGCTGCATATGAACATATTTCACAGGGGACAAGGTTGCATATTTTTACTAATATACAAAAAAACACACATCATCTGTGTTTGCCCTGTAGTGAAGTGTTTAATTTGTTTTCACTGTGCCCTTCTCAAACACACTGTATGCCCTTTGACCTCTTCAGTCCTTAATCTACATTTGCCCTTTTTCTGAGAGCTGAGTTAACTTTTCACCGCAGCTGAACGTTAGAAAAAACGAAAGCTGCCCACTCTGAGGGACACCTCTCAGAGTGACATACAGTAGATTGGATCCTTCCAGACTGACCATGAAGGGGTTTTGTCTCATACGAGGGAAGATACTTTTGTCATGATCCGTGCTGGTTGTATCGTTTCTCTATATGAACTGCATTTGGTTACATGCTTGTCTTGCTCTAAAAAAGGAAAGAAAAAGTAACCATGCTTTGAAACCAATAACGTGTTGCACATTTGACGTTATCTTTTATCTATCTAAAAATCATTTGACCAGGAGTCCGTCTTGAGACGAGCACATCTCGTTTTCAAGAGTGTCCTGGCCGACGAGTAGGCATCAGGTAAACACTTTATTCCAATTCCAACATTCGAACAGGGACAAATTGACCTTTAGAGGTTTGCTAAATGGACCCGGTCTCAGAGTCATCCTCCAAGAGTTTGACCTCTTGCTAAAGGTTACATCAACTGTTATTAATTCTTGCATAAGTGACACGCAAACCAAGTCACCCACACTAGTCCTGCACATGTTTTGCTGGACACATTCAAAATAAGACAATCAAGGAAACAAAGAGACCTCATTCAGTGTCACATGTCATGTTTTATTTTGTGACCTATCTCTGCACAGAATAATCAGATGGATTATGAATACATACTCAGCTCGATTGCTGTGACATTTTTATGTTATCTTTGAATTCTTTGTTCAAAGTCGACTCACAGATGAATTCATGTCTGCAGATTAGTAAAAACTTTACTAATGCAACGCCACCTACAGTTTTTGTTACATGCAGAAATCCCATTTCATTTTCTATTCATGTTTCACCAATAGAGAAAATTTTTTGTTTCTGATTGTCTGACTTATATTACTTTAGTCTTTTCTGTCAATAATTTAAGAAAAGACAATAATGACACTATTGGCACTAGTCAATTAAATATTTTGGCTGAAACTTGAAGCAGACCCAGAGCTGCAGTAATGTCATGTTGTTCACATGTGGAGTGTAAAAGTTTATTCAACCCATTAAGAATCATTTTATCACGCACATTTACACCAGTTATACCCTTTAACATTTTTTTCAGTAATTTTGCAGTTAATAAAATCTGAAGAAATGAATCTCCTGTGAAGAGATGAATTAAATAGAACAATTTAATGTATTACAGACTTATCAGAATACATTGTAAGTCAGAATTTAAAATGTTTAATTGTTTGGTGAAGCCTTAAATGCATCTCTAAATGTTTTTTTGTTTTTTTTACGAAATACTTGAATATTATTTATGTGATGTTATTTATGTGTTGTGTTTTGATTGTTCTTTATTGGTTTGTTTGGTGCTTTTGTTGGCTTAAAGCAGCTTCAGAGGATTTTTTTCAGATATGGGTTATTTACTGTATTATCTTTTTAATCAAATTGATTGATTAATGAAAAATATATATTTAACTAATCCTATTGGTTCTATTATGCGTGAAAAGACGCATTCATATATTAATACAGGTTTTGTTTCAAATGGTGATCTGACCCATATCTGATCTATTTTTATTTTAATATTACAAGTTTTATATATATAATAGAAACCTTTATGAACCCATGGGTGGTGTTTACATTTTGTTCATGTTTTGGTTTTTCTTGTTGTTTCTTTGTATGTTTTCATTTTGTTTGTTGGCTTGTTTGTTGACTTCCTTTTTTTTAGTTTATAGATCAGATGTAATGCATTTTATGGACATGTTCAGAAATGATCACTGGTACTGGAATATTTTGAACGTATACATAAAGAGTATAAGCCAGGTTTTGTAAGGTTTAAAGTGTCCCACTCGGTTGACCCCTAGTCCTGTAGATTTGCAGTGTGAAAATAAGTGTTGGTTAAGCTCAGTACAGTGTTAATTTTATACCATTAAGTTTGGAATTAGTTAATCATTTGATGCAATAGTGTATTGCCGGAAATGCAATTCTGCAGCTCCACATCCCGATCACCACCGCGCAGACTATGGCTCCAAATTATATTAAAAGCACTTATATCTGGGATATCCATCTTTATTTTCAGTCTATGGTTCACACCATATAGTTTTGTTTGGGCTGCATAAGTTCATATCCTCTTTACCTCCAGCCCAACCCCCCCTACCTCATTTCTACCTCCTTCAAAAGTGACAGTTACACCACCTATATACTCCATGCTGAAAAGAGGCTATCGTAGCTATTCACATTGTTTTTACCATTGGAGTAACTACATCCATCAAGCTTGAACGAACTACAGAAAAATATCAGCTCTCCAGAAGAGATACAAAGTGAAATATTCTGCATATAATATGCTGCAAGCAACTTATCTTCAGTGTATAATACTGTTCCTCTTAAAATCGGATAAATGTTTTATGTGCCTATTTATCTTTTGCACGTCCTTAACTGAGTAACAAAAAGGATGAGATGAGGAGATTAACTGAATAACAAAAAGGATGAGATGAGATGAAGAGATTAGAGGAGGAGAGAAATAAGAGGAGGCCAGAGGAAAACAGGAGGGCAGCAGGGGGAGGAACACATGAGACAGATGGCCTGCACCCCAGAATAGGTCACAGAAGCCTGTAACAGTGCAATTTGTATGAGCTGTTTCTTCTGCCTGATTCAGAAGATTGTTTGTATATATGACAGTGCATTTCTCCTTTAAAATTATGAATATTTTACACAGTGACTGATGCCAAATTCCCTGAACTCACAGAAATAACCCTTCGTCTAACCACCTTGTTGATGAAACCAGCAAATATTCACATCCTCACCAGGTTCAGCTTTGGAAAAATAACAAACATGTGTTGTCCTTCCGATCTACAGAGTTTAACCCCGTCACCTTTAAAAATGCAATGAGAGCAGCCTTGTAAGTTCACAGTAGTGCTATAGTCAAGTGCGTGGTGCTAGTTCTTTAGCTCCTTACTACCCGACCTTGTAGTGACTGTTGCCGTCAAAGTGAACGTGAAACGAAGAACTTCATTCTAAGACGCCGACGGCAAAGATAAGCACAACATCCATCCATTTTCAGCTGCTATGGCAGTAAAGGTCCTTCCTTTTAGCTGAATGCACGGGTTGTAAGCAGCCTTGAGGAGGAGAGAGCCGTACAGCAAGTCCTGCAGACTCGACGGGAAACTTGCCGGAGAAAATATTCTGTCCACAAGGACGGAGCTTAGTGATTGAGTGACTGTGGCTAAAGCCGTCACCGCACTGAAATTCCACTCTGTCTTCTTTAGCGACAAATAATGCTCCGCAGCCCCGTCGATATGCAAGGTCAAAAGTAATTACAAGAAAATGCATCTTCTCGATAAACGTGGACAGAGTCATTTAAAAGCAAACACTTTAAAGGGAGCATTAATCTTTAGTATCATTATCACCTAATGCGGCAGCTCCCTCTTCAAAACGAAAACAAGACGTCTTTCATTTAGTAGCATTTTACCACAGGTTTGCTCCTAAACTCCCAAAGCCTCAAACGCGTTTGGTGTTGCACGACGCCATCTGTCAAACCTTTTATTATCATGGTTCATGACTTTATGACGAGCTGGGAACGAGTTCTAAGCCTGTGGGCTGAAAATGCCCTTTAGAGTGCAGAACTGAAACTATATATTTACTGTATTAAGGGAGCAATTTATTTTTATTATACAATCGTGTAGATTTTACTAAAATAGATGTAAGTATCCAGATCATTTCATGCAAATTTTAATGATAAAGATAACATGGCATTCTGTGGTAAGAAAGTTTATGATTATGTGTTAATATTTACCTATAAAATATCCATGGTAAGGTACAGTAGTGTATGTAGGAATAGATCTTTGTTGCTGTCCTTTCTTGTTTTTATTGAACCTTAAAAACTCTTAAAGCTTATCTGAGTGTCCTTATGATGTGTTTTAGTCGAGTTGTCATTGTGATTTAAATAGAATGTGACTTTAAATTTATTCTTCCAGTTTAGACCTTTTGTCTTTTCTTCTTAAAAAAACTGTCCAGTAACGTGTGTGGGTCCCACTCATCAGTATTCTTCTGTGTCCCATTGTCCACATCAGCACCTTCCACAGTCGACGCTATCACATCACTCTTTTAGTAATTTTTGTCTCCTTATGTGTCCTTCACCCCTCTGTATACTTCTCCATAGCCATTACCATACAATGTTCTCCACACTTTATATTCAATATGACAAAACTTAGTGGACATGAAAAGATGCAGCTTGTAAGATTAGACCATTTCATGGAATCAGGAATGTGAAACCTCTGTATGAAATTTGGTGCAAATGCAAACATGCTTCAGTCTTACTACTGAAATCTGCAAGCTGCATCTTTATGAATACTGTCCTCAATTCTGCCCTGTCCCTGTGGTTTAGTGTAACCAAAGTTTGCCATGGCTGTATGTGCTCACTTTTCCTGACTGCACCCCAACAGGGAAGAAGAACTCCTTGCTGCTGCAGAAGTTCCAGAAGGATCTGAACGCCGGCGTTTTCAACACGCAGGAGAACGAGATATTGAAGCAGATTATCCGTCAGGACAGGGAGATGGTGATGATGGTGGACCGCAAACAATCGGTCACCGGGATGAACTCAACACCAATGTCAGGAAACTCCATCATTAACTCACCAGCCCAGCCGCCCTTCGCTGCCTTTGGCACCAATCAGCTCCAGCAGTCCTCAGTACCCCTGACCTTCAGTGCTTCAGCTATAGCCAATGCCTCCGCTGCCCGCATGCTGCCTGCCGCTGCCGCTGCCGCAGCGCAGGGAATTTACCCCGCACCCAGTGTTTCCCATGGCAACCTGAGTTCTTCCTCGGCCAACCCACAGACCCCGCTGCAGCAGCAGGGAGCGATCATGTCGCCCTGCTCCTTCACGGCTGCCATGTGCAGTCCGCCCGTGCAGACCCCTATGGCAAGCCGGAGCTTCCAGTACGGCTCACGCACAGCCTCCCAGCTGTCACTCATCCAGCAGCCCCTTGCCCAACCATCTCTATCAACACAGCAGCAGCTTGCTCAGCAGCCCGCTGTGTCAACTGCAGCTGCAACCTCTGCAGCGCAGCAGCAGCAACAGCAGCCGTCGCCTCAGCAGGTCCCTTCACCTCAGCGGGGAGACATGCACAAGAGCACACAGGCTCTTCAGTCAGGCAGCTTGAGTCGAGATGTCCGACACTTATCGGCCTCCCAACCGTCACTGCCACATGACACATCTCTGGGGCCCAGGGTGCACCCAGCCTCAGGAGACTCTCTGGCCTCCATCGTACCACCAACAGCAGCAGCGATCCAGGGAATGAATCTGCAGAGTGGAATCCGCACCACGGTGCCCCAGCGGGTCAACTTGTTCCGGCAGATGTCATCAGGAGCTCTGCCCCCAGTTCGCTCAGCCACGGCAGCGGCGGCGGCGGCAGCAGTGGCAGCAGCAGCATCTTCATCCTCAACCCAGCACAGGGAATCCCCCGGATCGAGGAGAGATTCTGTCCTGAGCAGTACGGAGACTGAGCAAGACAAAATGCGTTTTGCATCAAATTTATGATCCCATTTTTGTTCCCCCTTTTCATTTTTTAAACTTAAACATGTTTGGAGATACAGCAAAAGAGATGAAAATGAGGAACTCCAGCATTTTTGTTTCTCTCCGGTTTTCTTCTAAAATAACCTCAAAGAATTCCTGTACATACAAGCCCTTGTATTATATTTTAGACACATTGTCTCCCTAAACTTAAGAATGTATATTATACAGACACATCTGTTTCTTTTACGCCATATTAATCATTTATATATATAAATATATGCAGCTATACACGTACATACAAATATACATGTATATGTATGTATGTATGTATGTATAGCTGTGTGGATGGATGATGTGTGCGAGTGTGTGTGTGTATATGACTGTGTATAAAATCCAACTACAATATTTGGCAATGGCAATTTAAAAGCTGTAGTATAAACATCAGTCTTCCTTTCTGACAAATATAAAGAATTATATATGATGTAATTTTTTTTTCTTTTCTTTTTTTGCTTTCTTTTTTAAAACTGGAATGCATTGTGGATTACGACAATGAGTTTTGTTTTTTACCACTGAAGAAGAGGAAAATCATCTTCTCCTATTAAGAAGCTTTAGGCACCACTGTGGAATAATAAGTGCGAGCAACTCTGATGAATAATCTCAGAAAGCACACGTAAAAATAAATCTCACACGCTGATTTCCTGAACCTCCATCCCAGAAACCAACGAATACTGTAACTAAGTGTTATGTTGCTTTCAGCGATGAGATATCCAGTCTGCTGAGCTGCTATATCCCCACAGCGGCTCGCAAACAAACTCTTGACAGTGTTATGGGTCAAAAGGGAATAGATAATAGAAATGCTGATTTCTGTATTTTTTAGTTTGGAGTGTGGAGAAAGATATGGATGGATGCTATTGTTTTTCTATTTCTGATTTCAGATGGCTGAGATGTTATGTAACGTTGCTTAAAAATTCTGTGTATATTTATAATATTTATAAACTAAAGATTATCACCATTATGCAATAGACTGTGACATAAAGATTACCTATATGTGTGCTGTAAATAGTTTTGTAGAGCTAGTATTTACAGATACTGTGTGGTGCATTCTCTATCATAACAATGTCTTACTTCTAACAGGAACCTGGATCATCTATATGAGACAAAAAGGTTAAGAGACAAAAATACGTACGTTTCATAAGAGATAGACAAACCTTAATGCAATAGCTAGCACAACTTAATGGTGAGAAATGTCTGATCGGAGGACATTTAATAATCCCCCCCTCTCTCTGTATACTACCCCTAGCTCTACTATCGTTTTTAACACATCAAGTGAACAACAATATTTACCTTCATTCACATCGTCCTATTGAGAGTAAACACGTCTTTTCTTTGTTGCCTCACTTCCTCAAAAGCAACTCATTTTAGGAATGATTATTTTGGTTTTAAAAGTCAAGCTGATTATTTTATGAAATGGATTATTCAAGGACAGGCTCACGTTTTTTACGTATTTAATTTAGATTTCAGTGCTTGCTCATCTGCTTCTTGAGTCAAACTGTACTTTACGCTCTCACATCACAATTACTGTAATTGAACAGCCTGGCCTCAAAGACGTCAGGTTTCCAGTTTCTCAAGTGTGTAGAGGGGTTAGAATCTTCACTGAGGTCATTCTGTGCCTCTGCAAGTTTGGGAGGGGGGTGAACGCTGGTTTGCATTAAGGTTTCTCTCTCATGTAAATCCATTACATGGGCTTAGCCACTCTCAACTGACCCAGACTGACGCTCAGAGGGGGAAGCAAGGTCAAGCCAGAATACTGTGACTCACTCTATTAAAAAAAAAAAAAAAGAAAAAAAAAAAAAAAAAAGGATTTCAAATATTTTAATCTTATAATAGCTAAAGTATTTGATGACTCTGCAGCCATTACGGCTAACAGGTCATTTTCCTGCACACACTGTTGATTGTACATCGTGCTCAAGCCCTCCCTGTCTGTGTTCTGTCATTTCACTACTTCTACGTAGAGTCATAGTTTTCACGGCACCATCAGTTCGGAGTGACTAAGCCCTCGGTCGGTGATGACGGTATTTTATGAAGACCTCGAGTCTTGGCTCCAGATTATGTCGATAGTGTACTGATACAGCCGATCCACCAGTTGTCATGAAAGCATGCACTGTCACAAATACTTAAAAGAAAAAAAGATACTATCTCAAAAATGTTGACGTTAAATGTTAATGTTAGATTACGTTTCGTTCGCTGTCCGTCTGCCTAGACTCTGTGTGTGTGAACAGAAGCATCGACTCTTCACATGGACATTCTTAAGTATTCGTGCCTAAACTATAGCCATGTTCCATCCTTCGTTAAGCGTGCAAGCTCGTTGCGTGCGGGGGGATGGGGGGGCACTTCCTGCACACGACCGCCTGTTCATTTTTACTATACTCTACGTGTTCTATGTCTCAGTGTTTTTAGACGGGGAAGGAGCAAGCGATGATGATGGCCAAATGTCTCCGTTTATCCAATTGGTACCTTTTTAACTTACAATGTGAACTTCTATCTAGAGCCAGGTTTTTTTTTCTTCCTTAAGTTCTCAGTCAAGCTATTTAGGATATTTAATGAAGTTGTGTACAGTTTAAAAGTAAAAAAAAAAAAAAAAGTGCAATCTTTAGACTTTGCAGTCAGGTCACACTCAAAATTGGGAGAACCTTTATATGTTTCTTTGTCACGAGTCGCTGATGTTTGGATTGAATATTGATGCGTGGAAGGAAAACTGGCCAAAGCAAAACATTCTGAGTCATTGTCTTTGTTATTTAAATTGCACTTTCTGATAATTTAAAGAAGGAAAAACAAAAGAAAAGGGAGGGATTCTTTCAGCAAGATTTAGAGATGTTGAATGAGTCCGAAAGGGAGCAACATCCCCGAGAGTTCGTGCTGCCCTGATCCTGTACGAGGTTCTAAATGATTAGGTTGGTGGTGGTGGGGGAGGGAGGGGGGTGTTCTATTTACAACAGAGAGCGCTTAATCGTGAATATGCCATAGTGAATAGGAACTAGTGCACAGTCAAGATGGATAGCAGCACTGTTGGTTTGTGCTGTTTTTGATACTTGCCTTTGGAGGGAGAGCTTCCCAACTATGTGCTTTTTTTCACTATACCAATCACAAACTAACATACTGGAATGGGCATTAATGGTGATGTACAACACAAAACTAATGAGCTTACATATTAGCAGTATAGAGACTCTCAACAAACCAGCACATATATTTGTATATTTCTTTTTTTTGTTTGTTTTGTTGGTTTGAGGATAAAAAAAATAATAGTAATAAAGAGATGCAAAAAGAACTGAGTATAATGCCCAGAGAGGACAAACCAAATGCTCGTTTGGTTTCCGACGACCACAGGTTTCATATGTTTACTGATGATGTGCGTAGCGGAGCGAGGGGGAGGGCGGGAGCCGCAGCGAGCCACTCCGTCCTCCTCTGCGCCGCTCACACGGTCATTGTTCAGCTCATGCTCATGTAATCCAAGGTTTAGAGACAACGAACTATTAGTTGGTTATTTGATACAGACGAAAGAAAGGTAAATGTAGACTTTCTTACAACAATATGCAGACAAACAGTGTTTGTCAAAAAATCTTTTTGATTTTTTTTTGTTTATTTTGTTTGTAAATAATAAACCTTTAAAATATAGAAAATAAACGACAAATTGTCATTTAAAAGCAAGTGTGTGTCGTTCTGTTGTTGGGCAGTTTTTCATTCATTTGCAATTTGATGGGGGGAGCAAATGCAGAAATGAAATCAAAGACGAGGCAGTGATGAAGAGGAGTCAGAACAGTGTCTGTCAGCAGTTACAGGTGAGGTGAGAAATCTGTGTGTGTGGTCACCTGGGATTTCCATTCATTAGCACTTATCAGTCATCTGAGGCCGCTTTCAGACATGACCTCTGGAGGATGTCTAGAACTGGGTCCAGACTTTCTCCAGAGGTCGCCTTTCACACATGAACAACGCAGCAGCGATCACATTTTCTTTACAGCACATCACCGGCGACGGCCCTTATCACCAAAAGCTCCCTTGACAGCCTTGTCTGTCTCCTGTCACTTTTCAGAGATATTTATATTCTTTTCGTGCGTTTTTTTTCTTTTCATTTTTGTGTCTGATTCTAAAACTGTATTACTGTTCTGGGTTATACTGTGAAAAAGGCACAACCATTCATCTTCCATTTAGCTGGTAAAATTGTCCATCTTCTGTTTAGTTAAAGAGGTAGTTGGTCTTAATTGAGCAAATTACGCCTGATTAGTACACTTAAACACTGGTAATTGTGCCACAGCCAACATTATTAGTCCAGATCTAAAAAAAAGAATAAAAAGAAAAACAGCCCTAGTGCAATCTTATCAGAAGTAGCTGCCCTATCCAAAACAGGCTGAAGAGCATTGCTATGGATGACGAGTTCATGCTCCGACAGTATGAGCCACCCAAGTCCACCCATGACGAAGAGGAAAGCAGAGCTGACCAGGGTGAGTGACACCCACAACAATGACCAATATGTGCTCTTTCCTTGATTTCCACAGTTAAAAAAGGACTAGTGTTACAAGCCGGTCAAAGTAATCATGGGTCATTCCATCTCATATCATCACACTTTTGAGCCACACCATCAACTGTCAGTTTGACGTGCTGATTTGATGAGGAATCTAAGAAACGGGAATTCTGTGTCTCTGAATCTAAAGGAGATATGGGCAGAAAAAGTTTGAACTGTGACTTTGACATATCTCCTTTGATAGAGATTCTCTCTCTTGTCCAGCCCCATTATTTATCCAAACAGTATGCAATATAATCAATAAATGCACTGTGAGTATTTGTAACAGTTAAAGTTGAATTACAAAACAAATCCTTGTTTTAAAATTGGTCAGATTTCCACCTGAGTTAGTCATCAACATCTCCAGACAGTTAGGTCAATGGTTTTTGAGTCGATGCCAGAATACCATCACTTATCAGAAGTGTCACCACATCACTTATTCCTTACAATGTTGAACAGCAATTAGTGATCAGTGCAAAATACCAGCAACCAAGCACTGCATTGGTCTCATCCTTTCACCGAGTTTCATGGAATTCCATTCAGTAGTCTTTGCATAATCCTGCTGACCAACAAACAAAGTAACAGGGCAAAACATAAACTCCTTGGTGGAGGTAATTGTTACTCAAACATGTAACTTGCTGTGAGGAAATATTATGTTTTTACTTTCACTCAGATACAGATGTTTGGTTCTTTGTGGCACAGTCAGGATATCGTGAATCAGTTCAAGGCTTGTTTAAAAAACGACCAGGGAGCAGAGACGCCAAAGCAGGCTGTCATGCATAAGTAAAATAGGTCTAACTCCCAGGTTGCACTTGTCAACAATGCTAAATCAAAAAGTTTTTCGTGCCAGTGTTCCTTAGCCTGTCACWCCCTTTTTTCATAGTAGGCTTAGTCCTCTCCTCCAGGCCTGCATGATTATGGTTAGGATTGGAAGGCATTATCAACTTTGAAATAAAATTAAAATAAGGTTACAGGCTTAGGTTTGACCCCCATTGATCCACCTGTAACTCAAGGTTGGAAAATGTGTTTGAGTCAATATTATTATTATAAAATTAGATGTTCTTAAAAGTAACCTTCACTGGGACATCAAGAGCCAGACCGATGTCATATATGTCAGAGGGAGGTAATCACTACTTGTACTGCAAAGCTTTAAGTCTATATAATATGTATGTGCTTTTACTGTGGCGGGAGTTTTTTTTTAAAAATATAACCAAACTGACAAAGAGTCAGTGGAGCGGAGCACAGCTGCAGATAGGCTATGAGGGGAGGAGGCTCAATCTCTGTATGACGTGTCCCGTGGATTTCGCCATGAAGGAGCAAAGCGGGGACGACGGCCTTTTCCTGGACAGAAGTCAAAGTCAGTCTTTGGTCGAGCTCTCCTCGGGCTCCTCTTCCTCTGTTTTCCCTGTAAACAAAAAAGAAACACTTCAAACATTATATCTGATGTCAGCTGATAAAACCTCAGTGTTGCATCATGTAGCATAACCACGTGAACATGGATGAGTTGCATATTAGCAGTGAACTTACATAGTTGTCCCTTGCCGACCAGTCAGGGTAGAGCTGGTTGTGGATCTGCCTCAGCCTCGCAGACTCCTCATAATATTTCTCCTGCTCCTTTTTCGACAGCGCCCTCCACTGTGGACACACAACATGTCAGTTAACAGTGCACACAGCAACACACAACTACATGTAACTGCACAAACACAACATGAACAGATCCAGAGGCTTTAGAAGTGTTGTCTTAGACGCTGCTCGATGAGGTGAAGCTTGTGTGACACTGAGAGTCTCAAAGACACCTACCATCTGTCCAATGATGGTGTTGACGGCAGCACAGTCAGAGTTTCTGAGCCCAGCCAGAACTTTCAGCCTCTGCTCATTCCTGTAGAGCATGAAGGCGTTGGGCGGCTTCTTCACGTATGGCCTGTCATTCCCCCGCTGGTTCACACGCTTTCTCTTTCTGTGGGGAAACAGAAGAAAACAGATAGAGAGCATGAATTACCACTKTGTAAAACTGTGAGGAAACAAACATGTTAACTAGGACCTTGGTGCACAAGTCAATATAAATATATGAAATATAAGAACCAGACTTACTGTGGACTGCAGGCGTTCACTGGAGGAGGAACTGTGTCTCCCGGAGCCGCGTAAATCATCTTTCCCTCACTACAGAAACACAATCAGACACATTAGAGAACATAAAACAGTGAGGTTGAAGATTAAAACAGAGGCTCATTGGTGTGTGTGTGTGTGTGTGTGTGTGTGTGTGTGTGTGTGATACTTACAATAATCCAATAGGATACAGCCTCACCTCAAGATGTTTAGTGACAGTCTGTGGCTGATTGACAACCTGGAGACGTGAAAACAGAAAATACAGGAGGTCAGACAAACTGCATCCTCTGTGTCATCAGTCAAAAACACAACTTGCACATATTTATACCAGGCCCTTGTATAATCACTGTCCTGGTCTTAACATTGTCATTAACACCAATCACGTACATTTTTCCCAATTTAATGAAAGAATGACGTCTTCTTGTCTCTGAGAGAAGGTGGGGCACATGAAGTTTGTACCAAAGTAAAAGTCTCTAAACCTCAGTCAGGTTCACTACTCTAAGAATAACCAGTTCCTCCATTAATATGTAATGATAATACTAATACACTGTATTTATATAGAACCTTTTACAGTTACAATGTGATTTGTTTGTTTGTGTGATTGTTTCAAAGAGAGGGAGCCCTGACAGAAAAAAGCCCGGTCACGTCTGGTCCCCATGCGTTTCATGTCATCATAAGCAGTGTATAGGTACGGGACTTATATTGTGAAGGGTCACCAACGGAAGTGGTTGATCTTTTTGAGCGAGATTTGTTATACAGAAGAAGCGTGCGGTAAAGACTAAACCTTTTAGCTACGTAGGGATGAGACAGGTGAGCGCAGGAGGTTTTGATACACATTTCAAATGTGCGCCACGTGTGTTTAAAAGTCAGCACTAAAGTCTGGAAACTAAGAGTTATGTGCTCTTTTAGCAGATGTAGCTGCAGCGAGCTGTAATCTCTGTGTTAAAGTATATTTCTGACACAGGTATTGATCCAGTTGTTGTGAATCTGTCTCTAACCTGCAGTTAGGACCTTACCTGTGTCTGGCTGTGCACGGGGCCCGGCTGCAGGAAGCTCTGCTGCGCGTCCATCATGGGGGCGAGCAGGTCAGAGCGAAGTTCCTCCATGAGCTGCTCCAAGGTCAGACTTGTGCCCTCCAGGGTGGTGTATTCAACACTTCTCCTCTCCGGGGGG